GGAAGATGTGGGGCATTTAGGATGGCCAAACATTTTTAAAAAGGAAAGAAGAACTTTCTAGGTGTAGCAAGCGTTGTGAGGGAACAGCAGTGCCGAAGACTTTGTCAGGCACGGTAGGGAGGTTGATCACACCTGAGTGTTAGCATACCCGGATGGGGGATTAAACTGGAACCATAGTTGCAGCTAGGATGCAGAGGCTTTGTGAGCCAAGCTAGTGGTTTGACTTTATGGGACACAGTGGGGACAGTACTTTGCGGGGCAGGGAGGTGTGGGGAAGCAAGAGTGGTCTGATCAAAATGGGGTGTTGGAAAGGCGACTCTGATAGTGGAAGAAAGTGGGAAGAACGCTGATTCAGAAAGCTACGTTTTAGATCACTTGAAGGTCCAGGGTCTACAGGACATCTACATTGACTTGAGAGAGCTAGCGCATGCCCAGGCAGGGCTCAGGAGGAAGATCCTGCAGATGCGACTTCCACCTCTTGTTTGCAGGCATGTGCTTGTTTATTGCCCTTGGCATACCGGTCTGGCTACCTCTTCTAGCCTCTAGAAGTTACGTCTTCTAGCCTCTGCCTGTGAAGAGGTAACCTCTTCTGGTTATCTCTCCACTAGTGTGGCTTCTCTTTTTTTAAATGGCCCATGAACCCTGGTGAGGTCCCTGGTGGACACCATGGCCAAGTAAACATGATGGCCTGATAACAGTGCTTTGTTTTTATTTCATCCAGTACTTAGAGCTTGTAATTTTTAAGTTGTGGGTAATGATTTTTTAAATTTCTTAAAGAAATAGTAATACTATTAAAGATTGATTTCTTGCTGGAACCTTTAGTGGAGTTGCTCTTCCTTAATCTCATTCCACTATATTATTACTTTGTTCATAAATTTTTTAACACTTGGATCATTCCAAATTGACATTTTATATGCACATAAACATGATTTCACATAAATAATTGAGTTTCTGAAAGCCACACACTAGCTTTGCAAAGTATGAGGTTGAAACATAACATTTATTTTTTGCATTAATGGGTCCCAGAGGCCCACAAGGTTTATTAAAATGAATGTTTCATTTCCTTCTATCCGATTGTGCAGATTTTCTGAGAGGAATTTAGGAAGTGTCTCTGCCTTATAGCCAACCTCTGGCAAACATCTCTTATACTGCCTACTTTTTAAAGAAAAAATACAATATTTTATTTATCTAGTTAATAACCAAGCTGATCTTTTCCTATTTCTTTGGCCTTCTGATGTGCAATGTCATCATTTAAAATAATAAAAGCCAATCTTGAGAGGCAGACGGTTCACAATTCAAAGAAATCAGCATCCCAGGGCTGTCCACAGCTCTGCACTTACTGTACTAAGAGGTGGGATAAGGTGCATCATAGTTATGGCAAGCAAATCCCCACATGCAGCTACGGGTATCTCAACCTTAAAAGCATGTGATATTTCCTGTGAAACTTAGACCAACGGGAGAGTTTGTCTTCAGGTTGATTGGATCACAAGGCACAATGGAGAGTTGCAGTCAGTGGCCAATAAAAGGGAAAGGTGTCCAGGATTGAGAAATGAGAGGAGTAATCACATCTCATATAGAAAGCCAAATGAGTCTTATCAAAGTGGTGGGCTGCAGTGGCTTGCAGGAAAGGTATCTTCAGTTTTCTAGAATGTGCTTCAAACAAAATTGGTTTTTAAAAACAGGCATGTGTGCTTTTGTGCTTGATATCCCAGTGCTGCCTGCTTTTAAATGGTGAAGAAATGATATCTTTATGTCCTTTACTTTTAATATTCTTAATATATTGTACCCCTTGGGGAAGTCTTTGGCAAGTGACAAAAAAATATCCTAGTTGGGGGAGTGGGGTGGGCCAAACTGTCTTCAGGCAGTGGACAAACTTCGCTGCATTTAGAAAATATTTTCACTGTGCTACCTTGAGCAATCAGGGGAAAAGTTGACTAAGAAACAAAGTCTCTGATTTCCACTATAAAAATTTTCTTTTCACTGTCTTTCCGTGTATTTTGAATCTCTAAAACTCCTAAAAATTTCTACTGTTTACAGTGTTATGTCTGCTCTACTTGACAAAAAATTGATTAGAAAAGACGACAGAATTTTCATCTTTTAAAAGTCATGTTTTATGAAATTTGTTCTCTGGAACCTTTAGGAGAGCTGAGTTCACCAGAGATAAGAAACATTGCATTGATAGGCAACTCCAGGCCATCCGTTTTCCTACTTCTCCTATTAATAATTTCTGTCCCTTCCTCTAAGCAAAAAGTAATTTCCCCAAGAGTATTAAAAGGCACTAAATCATGGGATGTTTTGAAAGTGTATTTTTTAAATTACGGAATTAACATCAGTCTTTTTTTTTATGTTTGGCTTTCATTTTGCAAAAGTATTTCTCACATTTTGTATAAGCCTGCACTACAACAACCTGGAAAATGCCTTCATTCCCAAGGAATGATTCTCCTTTGCCCTTTATGGTTAGAGTTTATAATAGACTTGTAATACCTTGACCAAAAGAAAAAGAAGGCATTGCTTTATTATCACAGGAATCTTGTCACTAATTAACTGTTTATTGTGGCAGTAGGTCTAGGTAAATAATTATAAACCATATAAAAATGAACTTTCTGCATTTAATTACTTCCTCATAAGTCATTTGCATTTAAGCTAAAAAGACAAAGTCTCTACGCTATTTCCTTTAGAGATATTTCAATGAGAAAAGACAGTATAAAAGAAAATGTCAGGTATTAATAAATGGAGAGTAGTAACAGGATCCATTAGTGTTAACATTTCTATTATTTCAAAAATCCATTAATTATGAGATAAGTGGAAAACTGTAGGATTCAGGCCAAGTTCCTAATTTGCAACTTCATGAGTAATAATGTGTTAAGCCTAAGAAGCAGAATTTCATCACGATGAAAAATGTCAGGTGTAACGTTCTACAATTTAGGTTGAAATTTTGGGTTTTACTCTTTGTATTTTATCTTTTACTGGGAGGCTGTTTTTTTGGCAACCATTATAATGGTTGCCAAAAAAACCATTATGATGGTTCAAAAAAAAAAAAACCCTCTCGGCAAAAGATACACAATGAATTCCAAAATATTCAAATACCAAAAATAGAGCTTAACAGTGAGGAGAAAAATAAAACAATCTTGAAAGTTTCCTGTAGAGCCCTTCATCAGTGCTTCATTGCAGAGCACTCTCTGGCCAGATTAATTAAAATTAATCTGTTCACTTCTTGCTACACTTTCACTTTTTTACTGAAATATGTATTTATATTCTTGATTGTAATAGTAGTTGCATAATTGTAATAAGTAATTAGCAAGTTCTAAAAGCCAGTTGTTAACCAGAGAAATAGAATGACATATATATTCTTCCTGATCCTGCTTTAAGAGCAAGAATGAGCCTTTTCCTAGTACTCAAATCTTGTTAATGCACACCGAATGTAAATCGTGTACCGCCAGAAGTGCATACACCTTTAAGATATTACTAACACCAAGAAAGATAGAGTGTTAGTGTTTTGAAGTGATGTGTTATTAAGGAATTTAGAGTCGAAAACATGCTTGTTAGTATTGGCAGAACAATATTAGAGGAATGTTTATGTGTTTGGTTTGCTGTAAGATTTTGGATCCCGTGATCTAGAACCTAAATATACTAACTCTTATGTTATATCAGATAGTATAGCATTGCAAAAATTTTTATTTCTTATGAAATAGGTGTGTTTAACCCAGTAAGATATCTTAAGTTTTTTATTCCAATTTTTCTTGTAAACAATGACTAATCTGGCGTAGCACCCCAGACTGGGTGACAGAGCAGGACTCTGTCTCAAAAACCAAAACCAAAACCAAAACAAAAAAAAAAACAACAACAAAAAAGAAGAAAATATCAATGATGAAGAGAAAACATTGATTTTTTATGTGGAGAGGACACTTTTATCCAGGCTGCAAAGCTGAATCTTGCAGAATTTAAAGAGAAAGTCTGCTGCTTTAATTTCCTAATGATCTTCATTTCCCCCCCACTTTTCATGTTTATTCTAACTATGTATGCCACACAGCCCTTGTTCTTGTTCTGTTGTGGCTACAGGTTTCTCACTGTGGTCTACATGCCATGTCATTTCACATGGTACTTTGTAGGTTCTGATGAGAAAGTTGGTACTTTTTAATGCACTGAAAAATTGATTTTAATTAGAGAGTTCGCTTATCAGTATAACTTTCAGATCGGTTAATTAAAAGACTCACTTTCTACAAGCGAGAAGAATATATCAGTTAGCATGGTTATGTTTATAAAAGAAAAGCCCTATTAGATTCTCACACAAAGTGTGAAAAATATAGTGTGCTAAAAATATATATATATTTGAGGTTTAATTTTTAAGTTGATTGTAAGTGAACAATTTCCAATGTAATTTTTTGTAATATACTTATAGCACAACTTATGTTTCTGTGCGGAATCTTCCATTTTTACGTGTGAATGTTAAAACGGGCAAAATAATGAAAACACCTGGATTTGAAAAAAATTAATCACCGTGGATTATTAATTTAAACCGTAACAAAATTATTTTTGTCATTATGGTTTATTAGATACACTGTGCCTGTAATATTCTAGAAAGTATGGAAAAATTCTTACCTCTAGGATATTAAATGCCAGGTGTCATTTAGATCCATAATCCAGGAAGTATGCAAAATGTTTCAGAATGCTTTCCGAGCTGCTGGGTACAAACAGTGCAAATTAAAATGCTGTAAAATGTACAAAAATACGGAGGATCCAAGCCTAAAAATTAAAAAAGCAATCCACAAGGTGGGGGTGAATAAGCCACAGTTTCCTGGAGGTAATACATTCTAGGCTGTACATTGGAGGGTTCATTTGAGTGGGCAGCGGAAGGAGAGGAGCATTCCAGTGTGGGGCAGTTTAGCCTAGCCTGGAAGCCCATCACCAACCAGAACTAGAATGGAAAATACCAGTGCTTTTCTATACTATTAGCTATTGGACCTTGTCTTTTGGGGTTTTTTAGAATATTTTTTTTTTCAGATTAGATGGGTAATGTGTAGATGTTGCAAGAAAGTTCAAGGGTGGCACATCTCACACGTGTGTGAACACACAACCATCACGTTCATGAACTACAAAAGGATTGGACATTGTCTTTTGATGATTAATATTAAATAATTGTATTATTTTTATAGCATGTTAGCATCTACAAGGCACTTTTGATTTAATTTGACTCAATTAAATAGGCCACAGTGGCCTTGCCTATTTTCTTTTAGACCTGAGGTCTAAGGAAGGTTGGATCAATGTTAATTTGAGTGTCCATTTTATATAAGGCCCTGCTAAAACTTGGAGATTTTTAAATGTTTAAGAAGCTTACTTCTGAAGAAGTCGTTTCACTAGTGAAACAGACATTAATGATGTAATTATAGGTTAAGAGGATGAACAAATGCATTCATCTTTGAAGATTAAGAAATGGTTTTATCTGCTTAAGTAATTGTTTTCAATAAAGAAAATTTCTATGAAAATATGCCCAGAAACATTTAAGAAATATTATATTTAAGAAATATTTAGCACAATTTACTGCTTCAAAATTTCTTATCACTGTTCTTCCAGCTAATTGAGATATAATGTAAATAAACAAAAACTCTAATCCTGCAACATGAATCAGGTCACAACTTTCCTCAGTGATGGATGTTCGGTAATGTTAAAAGTTGTAAGACTATCAGACACTTTTAACAGCTGAGGTTACAGTTTTCATTTTGGATCTTTTATCAGTTACTGACATTCTTTCTTGATATGACAAATTGTAAGAATGGAAGGGAGATAGATTTTTATTTTTAGTATTTGGGTCTCAATATGCACACTTATGTATCACTTCCTTGTATTGCCTTTTTCATTAAAATTTTATCATACTTTTTTGTAAGAGAAGTTAGAAAGTACAGTCCAGGCTGGGTGTGGTGGCTCACACCTCTAATTTCAGCACTTTGAGAGGCTGAGGTGGGTGGATCACTTGAGGTCAGGAGTTCGAGACCAGGCTGGCCAACATGGTGAAACCCTGTCTCTACTCAAAATACAAAAATTAGCTGGTGTAGTGGCATGCACCTGCAGTCCCAGCTAGTGGGGAGGCTGAAGCATGAGAATTGCTTGAACCTGGAAGATGGAGGTTGCAGTGAGCTGAGATTGTACCACTGCACTCCAGCCTGGGTGAAGAGTGAGACTCTGTCTCAAAATAGTAATAATAAAAAAAAGAAAGATAGTTTAGTGTAAAGGAAAAAGAAAATGAAAATTGTAACTTTCCTCCAGAGATACCCATTCCTCAATCTGTTTTCTCTTGTGACAGCAACAAGGGGTGAGGATCTTCATAATGCTCTACAAAGAGGTAGAACTTGCTCTTGGCATCAATAGTGAATACACCAAGAGGACTTTGATGCGTCTACACCCCAAGATAAAGGTATTTGGGTTCATCTTGATGACAGCTGTTTCTCTATAGGATTTTTTTTTTTTCAGCTATGTTTTGTTCTGGGCAGTAATGATCTGTAGAATTCTCAAATGTATATTTGGTCAAATAGCATTGTGTCCTCAGAAATAAAGCAGAATACTTTATTTTCTTATCTTCCCTACATTGTCGGGGTAAGAAGACCTCACATTTCTGCTTCTCTGACACTTCTCTAATTGAAAGTGACAGTCTAGACAAGAACATGCTTCCTGCAGTTGTTTTGTTGTTCATGAGCCCAACAAATTCTTACACTTCTCATTAAGATTATTCTGGAACCTCTTAGATGTGATCTCCCTGTGACATCCCCTGATCACTGATAGCAGCACAGAGATCTCCTCTAGGATTTAAAATACTTAAAAAAAAGAAAAATCAACGGCACCTAGTATAAAATGCTAATAAAGTAAATACACATGAAAAGCAATTAGAAAAAGTTCTTTGATATTTTGCCAAACACCTAAAACCTATCAATAAATATAACCCAGTCGTTGCAGTACATCAAGACATAATGAATTAATAAAACTCCAGCATGCTTGAAATATGTAACAGTTGTATGTTTCACTTGGTTAGAAAAAATTGAAGTGTTTTCCACCAGGGAATGATTTATTAGGTTGCATAATTCCTATATTTTATTTATTCATTCACCAAATTTTCATCAAGTACCCACTGAAGATGTAATTTTGCAGCACCAACAACTGTGAGGAAAGAGCTGTTAAAGGAGCAGAGATTTGTATGTTACTGAAGTTAAACTGGTATAAATTCAAATTAGGATGTCACAACTTCAGGTTGCTACATGTAACTGCAAAGAAAATGGCAGTCAAATATATAGCTGTTTAACAAAAAGAAATGAGAAAGGGATTTAAACCTGTCATTACAAAAAATCAATCAAAAAAATCAATCAAAGGAAACAGAAGACAGTAATGCAGGAAGCGAGAGCCAAAAAAGCTATAAGGCATGTAGAAAATAGTAGCACAATTACCCAAGTATCTTACAAATAATTACTTAAAGGTAAATGGATTGACCTCTCAAAAAACAGAGATTGGTGGACTGGCTTTTAAGAAAACATGATCCAACTATATGTTAACTGTAAGAGACTCACTCTAGATCCAAAGACACAAATAGGTTGAAAATGATGGAAAGGATATTTCACACAAATAGTGACCAAAAAAGAGCAGGGTGGCTAAACTAGTATCAGACAAAATCGACTTTACATCACAACATGTGTGCCTATGCAACAGTCCTGCATGATCTGCACATGTACCCCAGAATCTAAAGTACAATTAAAAAAAAAAGATTATGAGAGACAAACGAGGACATTATATATTAATAAAAGGTTCAATACAGCAGGATGTAAAAATTATAAACATTTATGTACCTAATTAAAAACAGACCATTGAAATAGGTGAAGCAAAAACTGACAGAATTGAAGGGAGGAAAAGACAGCCTATAGTAACAGTTGGAGACTTCAACATCCCACCCTCAGTAATGGTTAGAACAACCAGACAGAAGGTAAGTAAGAAAAGAGAGGACTTGAACGCACAGTAAACCAACTGGATCCAGTGGACATACAGAACGTTCTATCCAACAACAGCAGGATACACATTCTTCTGAAGTGCACGTGGGGCATTTTCCAGGACCATCTGTTAAGCCACAAAGTAAGTCTCAATAGATTTTAAAAGGTAGATATACAAACCTCTGTCTGACCACAACAAGATAATGTTAGAAATCAATAACATAAAGACAACTAGACAAGACACAAACTTGTGGAAGTTAACACACTGTTAAACAAGTAGTGGCTCAAAGAAAACAATCACAAGGGAAAGAGAAAATACTTAGAGACAAATCAAAATGAAACAACATACCAAAACTTATAGGACACAGAGAAAGCAGTGCAAAGGGGGAAATTTACAGCTGTAATTGTAAAAAGAAGAAAGATCTCAAAACAACAACCTAACTTTACAGTTTAAGGAACTAGAAAAAGAAGAACAAACTAAACCCAAAACTAGGAGAAGGAAGGAAAGAAAGATTGGAGCAGTGAGAAATAAAACAGAGGATAGAAAAATGATACAGAAAATCAATGAAATTAAGTTGGTTTTTTTGAAAAGATAAAATTGACAAACCTTTAGCTTGATGGGTAAGAAAATAAAACGACTGAAATTACTAAAATCTGAAATAAAAGTAGAGACATTACTACCAATTCTACAGAAATGATTCTAAGAGATTACTGTAAGCAATTATATACCAATACATTGGATAACTTAGAGGAAATGTGTTCCTAGAAAGATGAAACCTACCAAGACTAAATCATGAAGAAAAATAGAAAATCTAAATAGATCTTTAATGAGATTGATTAGTAATTAAAAATCGCCCCCAAATGAAAAGCCTGGAACCTGATGGCTTCACTGGTGAATTCTACCGAACATTTAATGAGGAATTACCACCAACCTTTCTCAAACTTTTTCAAAAATTGAGAGAAGACTCCCTAACTCATTATCCTGATAGCACTGAATTGTACACTTAAAATGGTTAATATGGTAAAATTTATGTTATGTTTATTTTACTACAATTTAAAAAAAAAGTGTTATTAAGAAAACAGTAAGGCCAGGTATGGTGGCTCACAGCTATAGTCCCAGCCCTTTGGGAAGCTGGGGTGGGAGGGTGGCTGGGTTCAAAACCAGCATCGGCAACATAACAAGGCATCCATATCTACAAAAAACAAAAAGATTAGCTAGACATGGTGGTACATGCCTGTAGTCCCGGCTACTCAGGAGGCTAAGGCAGAAGGATTGCTTGAGCCCAGGAGTTGCAGTGAGCTGTGATTATGCTGAAGGAAAGGAGGAAAGAAGGAAGGAAAGGAAGGGAAGGAGGGAGGGAGTGAGGGAAAGGAAAGGAAGGAAAGAAGGAAAGAAAGAAGAGAAAGAAAAAGGAAAAGAGAGAGGAAGGAAGGGAAGGAAGGAAAAGAAACAAAGGAAGGAAAGAAAGAGAAAGAAAGAAGAAAGTAGTTGCCAAAGCTTTTGTAATATTTTTACCTAAAGGCAAATGAAAATAAGTTGGGTCAGACTGGGATAATTTTGAAAGCAAGAGGTTGCTAACTTCTCAAGGTACCTTTTAAATAAAGAGCTGCCAAAATATCTGTGTGCCTATTATTCATATGCTTAGTATTTCAATTCAACAACTGACAGAATATCAATATAATTCTTTACAATTTTTTCCGGGGATAAATAGTAAATGTTTTTAGCGTTTTTAAAAAAAATATTAAATTTAACATAATCCTTATGAGGGAAGGGAACCAGCTATCAAATTGAACCGACAGTTTCCTAATGTATTGGCAGACCTCAAGCTAAATGGCAGCTGCCCCAAAATACAGTATCTGGGGGTGGGAGCTTCAGAAGTAAATAGGTGTCTTTTTTTCTGCTAAATGCTTTCTTTGGTGTATACATTGTACGTTTTGGTATTTGAATTATAGAAAATGCTTTTCAAGGAGAACGCAGATCTATTTCATTATGCCAGGAAAGAGGTTTTCAAAGCATATTCTAAGTGGGGATTTTTCCCTCTCAAGGTGATGAGACACCCAGATCATGTGTCGTCCACCGTCTATTTGTGGGCTCACCACGAGAAGCTTGTCATCATTGACCAATCGGTGGCCTTTGT